ACCATCCCATCCACACTTGGCCCAATTAAAGGGACACAGGCTATATATGACCTCACTTAACGGTTTGGCCATATATTTGAGGTGAGAGCACAACTGGTGGGGGTCCACAAGTTTTGAAGTGAATTTAAACACTGAAGGTGGATTAAGAAGCAATGAATATATAATATTAACATGAATACAAGAATTTGAAGAATCATACATGGACAATTTTATGTTATTTATATGGTGGATTTATGCATATATTGCACTTATATTTTTATTTTGAGTGAAATTACACATATTTATGATTTTTATAGCATATTGAGCTATACAGAGCGGCACATTTTGGTAACAAAGGTAAAAACCTTTTACATGTATCTGCCCCCACAGCTTCCCTAAATACTCACCTGAGCCTGATCTCAGACAAAAATAAATAATCTCCTCAAACCCTCACCACGGCTCCCCCATGAGTACACCTGGGCACCATTAAATCATCCTTCTGCCACTGCTTGCCTGCAACTCTTTAAGTGGTTGTAAAGGTAAAAGTTTTTTTTTATCTTAATGCATGAAGATCCACATCAATCATGATGCTCATTCCTGCTGAACTGCCAAAAGAAAAAACTGCCACCCACAAGGGAGTCTGAACCCTTCACCTGACATCCAAAAAATGACAGCACCTAATCCCCATCAATTCTATGTAAACAAAAGGATGGGTTTTCTAAGCTGACATCATTGACTATGTATGGACATGACCATATTTGGTCAACTACATCGCTGGGAAACCCCTGTCATCATTGACCAAATTTTTTATTAAAGGAATTCTCAAAAACTGTAGCTGTTTATTTACTATTGATATTTCCCCCTTGCAGGTGGTTTGGTATGGTTCAAGAGGAGGAGCTGTATGTGTGTATGCTTGGATAAGAGGCTGGAACGGATTTAAAGAGACTAAATGTTTTTGGGGGTTTTTTTTTGCAATCCATATCAAACCTGAAGGGCTTGGTTTAGAAATTGGGGAGGGCCCCATGCCATTCTTTTTTTTGTTACATTATCCCTTTGTTTACTTTCACCGGTCAGCTAGGAATTCCCAGCTGACAGCTGAAAGTGGTATTAAACCCAAAACCAGAAATGTAATATATTGCAGTTTAGTCATTAGATGTTGTGGCTACAAAAGTTTTTGTTTATTAGATTTTAAGCTGGTAATCTGGCCAGTAACATACTTCCTGTATTAGAGTGCCCCCACTCCAGATGAATGATCACAGGGGGCACATTTGCACAATTTACATATAGTATCTTGGAAGTTAAAGTTTTACTTCTACTACTCTCTGTCTCCAAAACTGCTCACATCATAAGGAATGCAATTCAGTTTCAGTGGAAAATCTGTACTATATTTATATTCTGTCACCACAAAGATTTAGTCTAATTTTACATATGTTGCTGAAACCTGGTTGCTCTCTCCATCAGAAATAGTGATTTGTTCAAAAATATTTAAAAGGTGTACTTCAAATCACTAATCATTTGTTTGCTTTAAAGGATCACGTTTAAAAAAAAAAATAAATGCACATCTTTTTGCAGGTAAAAAATGTGCATTCATTTTTTTTTACTTGAAACCTGTAAAGCATTGCTGATCTTGGGTGGCATGAAAGACCCCTGCAGACTTGTCAGTGTATCTACCTGTCCGTACCTCATATGGGCAGGCAGTTACACACTGACAGGAAGAGAGAATGAACTACCACAGTGCTCAACAGCACCATAGTAGTACATTGAGAGCTACAAGCCAACAGCCACAACACAGAACACTGCGAATGGATGATGTGGCTGTGTGGGCAGAGCTGTCAAAACAGGGACTTTGGGGGGTGTGGGGGCCAGTGCAATTGTAACATGTCACATATTACACCCTAAATATGGGTGTAACATGTTAAAAAACCTCCCTCTTCTGCCTGTGAAAAAATAACCCAGGTTGGTTGTGCAGAATACAATTTGCGTGATTTATGACTGAAATATGTCAGTCTGTCTAATCAGGCTTAATATTGATAGTGGCTTTTTTCTGTCTTCTAGTCTCATAAAAAAAATCACCTTTTCTTTCAGAAGCAATGTGCTTGCTTTCTCACTCAGAAACTGCAGCCTTTCCAGGAAAGGCTTGAAGGTGTGCTGCAAATCTGTACAACCGATTCCTTTAACAGAGAATGTCACAAATTTTCCATTTCCAAATGCAAAGTTTGTTCAATCCCTAGGAAATTGTGTGTGTGTGTGTGTATATATATATATATATATATATATATATATATATATATATATATATATACTGTGTGTGTATATATATATACAGTATGTGTGTGTGTATAATTTTTTTAAAAATTATTTCAAGATCTCATCTGTGCACTTAATCACTTAGAAATTGCATACTATTCAAGAAAGGCTGAAAAGCTGTGCAATTTTTCAGTGTTCAGTCTTAGAAAATATACTTTTTTTGGACATGAAAACTGCCTGCTATTCTCTTCTGAAATAGCACACTATCAGAAAGGCTTCAAAAACTCTATTTCAATTTTTATCTGTCTTTAGTTTAAGAAAAAACGCAAATATAATCTTGAAAATATATAAAAGTGTATGTACTCCTCTTCTGACATTGCAACTTAGTAAAAAAGGAATACATGATACCCAATAAATCAGTTTTGGTTTTCTTGCCTGGCTCTGACAAATTCCACTCTGATTTACTAACATACACAACTTGTTAAGTCTCTCCATCTTTCATTGAGGCTTAGTAAAAACACTTATATGATGTGCAGCATGCCAATGAAATATTTCTTTTTTTGCACAATAATGTATGTCTCATTTCTTCCTCTAACATAGCAATCAAGTACCAATACTTACATGATGTGCAGTGAATCTATACCACATTTATAGCTGCTGACATAACATGCAGTTGATAGTTTTGACGTAATTTTTGAAAGAATATATACCTTCACAGAGATTTTAGGTAAAATGTCTCAGCTACTTCTACTGTCCAATGTTGTCCTATTGATGCTACAAAAAAAGAGTTGTCTTTGCCAAAACTACTTAATGAATCTTATTTTTAAGAATAAATCAATTATATTGGGTTGCTGCTTCTGCTTCTTAGCAGCTTGTTTAAGCAATAAAACCTGTAAGCTGTTTGGTTTCTACGCAGAAGTACTAGAGATTCTGAGTGAGCCAGCTTTAGCAAGTAAACCCCTGTGTTTTCTGCTGCCCTCACATAATTTGGTGATTATAAAGAGTTTTTCTGTTGGTTTGGTAGATTTAATTGGTAAGCGCAGGAGTTATTTATTATAATGAGCCAAATATCACCATGCACCAACATGTTCTATTATATTGTTACAAAATGAATTACTATGAATATCACTGTTTTGAGTGTGCACTGCATATGGAAAACGAAAGAACCAGTCATCTCTGACGCTTAAAATGTACATTGGTGCCCACTCTACCTGCCCAGAACAACTATGTATTGCAGACGTATATAGACTAGCTGAGGTCTGGGACCAGCAGGACATGTGAAATCTGCACAGTATAAGGGAAAAGTATATTAAAACTCAGATTAAAGTGTTACTAAACCCAGGACCCTGCATTCAATATATCTGGTCTCCCACAGTACACACAACATAGAAATGCAATTATTTTAGTAAATATAAACTGCTGAATACCTTTCCTCATCAGCAGTTACAGCAGGCTTGCGACTACAGCAGAGCCCTGATTAAAGTTTGTAGGAGGGTTATCTTTCTGCTCTAGGAGGATGTGAAACCCCTGACCCTCTGTCTGGACAGTGCTGACTGGCCCTGTGCTGATCACACGCACTCTCCCAAGAAAAAAAAAACCTCTCTAGCAAAACACTAAATTGAGCATGTGCATGTGACTAAGGATTCAGTCTGTATCAGGTGGACCAGAGGAGGGGCAGAGAAGAAAGGATCAAACAGCCTTTTTACACAATGCAGAGGATTAACCCCTTAGGTTCCACAGTGAGTATAACAAGCATGCTTTACTGCATATACAGACTGATTTTGCTGTTGTGGGTTTAGCAACACTTTAAGGTATACAAAAAGGTTTTTCTAACTTTAATGCAGTTACAGTTTATCTCAGTTAAAATCAGTTCTCTTTTAATGTCACACCATGCCAGGAGTTGCTCCAAAAATGTCAAGCCATTTAAACTAAATGTCGGCTACACTGTGATCCAGTCAAGACTAGAAACATGCTATCAAAAGGAAAGAAGTAACATTATTGACTAAGACCTGCATTTTAATTATTGCAAACCTGAGTTCACACCTGTTAATCACAGGGCTCATTCCCTGTGTAATAGCTAAAACACATTGTAGAAAATAGGGGATGATGTAGAAATCCTTTATCCTCCATGGAGATAAATTAAGTATACACAGGAAAGCCAGCAACGTGAGAAGGGATCAAATCAGGTTATAGATGTGGATCAAGGTTGTCCTTGAAGAAGGCAAGAGAACTGGTGTGCATTTTTGTAGCTGTGAAACATGTGAGAGCGATGGAGGGTTTGACAGCCAGCAGATTCTTTCCTTCCCCAGCCAAATGAATCTTTTACTGTGAGTGTAAGGTTATTTTATGTGGCTGCTGTATATGCTTAATTTAAGATGAAGTGAGATCTGAACATTGGCTTTCTGTGAACATAAGAGCTGTTCTTGCCTTATCTGTTGCAAGATAGGTATGTCTTGTAGGTAAGAGTAAACCCTATGTGAGGTGGAGGGAGCACATTTGTTGATCTTTTGGAGTGTGTTGAAGAGACGCCTGGTGGAGGAAAATTTTGGACAAATCATTATTGGACATTTATATATTTTTTAAATTCACCTTATTTAATTGTGGAATACTATTTCGATGTATTTAATTTGTCACCTTATGTTGGGGAGATTTTATTTATATATATATATATATATATATACTATATTGCCAAAGGTATTGGGTAACCCCTCCAAGTCATTGAATTCAGGTGTTCCAATCACCTCCATGGCCACAGGTGTATAAAATCTAGGCATGCAGACTGCTTCTACAAACTTTTCTTTTGTGAAGGAATGAGTCGCTCTCAGTAGCTCAGTGAATTTAAGCGTGGTATCGTGATAGGTTGCCACCTGTGCAATAAGTCCATCCGTGAAATTTCCTTGCTACTAAATATTCCATGGTCTACCACTAGTGGTATTAAAACAAAGTGGAAGCAACTGGGAGCAACAGCAACTCAGCCAGAAAGTGGTAGGCCACATAAAATTACAGAGTGGGGTCAGCTCATGCTGAAGTGCACAGTGTGTAGAAGTTGGCAACTGTCTGCAGAGTCAATAGCTAAAGACCTCCAAACTGCATGTGACCTTCAGATTCGCACAACAGTGCATAGAGAGCTTCATGGAATGGGTTTCAGATGGCTGAGCAGCTGCATCCAAGCCTTACATCACCAAGTGCAATGCAAAGCTTCGGATGCAGTGGTGTAAAGCACACTGCCACTGGACTCTACAGCAGTGGATATGTGTTCTCTAGAGTGACGAATCACACTTCTCTGTCTGCAATCCAATGGACGTGTCTGGGTTTAGCGATTGCCAGGAAAACGGTACTTTCCTGATTGCATTGTGCCAAGTGTAACGTTTGGTGGATTATGGTGTGGGGTCGTTATTCAGGGGTTGGGCTGGGCCCCTTAGTTCCAGTGAAGGAAACTCTTAAGGCGTCAGCATACCAACACATTTTGGACAATTTCACGCTCTCAACTTTGCACCAGTACACAAAGCAAGGTCCATAAAGACATGGATGAGTGAGTTTGGGGTAGAGGAACTTGACTGGACTTGTCCTGACCTCAACCTGATAGAACGCCTTTGGGATGAATTAAAGCAGAAACTGCGAGCCAGGCCTTCGCGTCCAACATCAGTGCCTGACCTCGCAAACTTCTGGAAGAATGGTCAAACATTCCCATAGACACTCTTAAACCTTCCTGACAGCCTTCCCAGAAGAGTTGAAGCTGTTTTAGCTGAAAAGGGTGGGCCAACTCAATATTGAACCCTACGGACCAAGACTGGGATGCCATTAAAGTTCATGTGCGTGTGAAGGCAGGAGCCCCAATGCTTTTGGCAATATAGTCTATATATTGAAAACTGGGTATAAGAATTTTTTTGGACAAATCACCCTTGGATTTTTTTGTTTTTCATTTCAATAGTTTTTTAATAAAGTTTTGAAAGTACAAATTGCTACAACGGCAGGTATGCAAGAAAAAGATAAGAGATTATCATGGAAGAATGCCTTGCAGAGCTGCATAAAATCCATTGGTACATCACAGCATAAGGAAGAGAACAAAAAATTTAAGTTCTTCAGGTTAAGGGTTTGTTCAGTTATGCAGATGTAAATTAACAATTGGTGTCATCAGCTAATTTTTTGGGAAACCAATGTGACCACAGTAGCCAAGCCTGTTCAAAGCATTTCAGTAAGTCATTCTTTATAACTAACATTTTTTCAAAAGTATAATATGATTGTACAGTGATCAGGACTTCTGATAGACTTGGTGCCATATCTTTCTTCCAATGTTGTGTTATAACCAGTCTAGCTGCAAGTAATATACTAGAGATTAATTTCCTATAATGAAAAGGGAAATAATCAATTCATTAATGTTTAATATAGCAGGGGCCAATATAGGATTAGTAAAGATCCCAGTGACATTGGAGAGGAAATGGAACAGGGGCGGACTGACCATTTGGAGACTCGGGCACCGCCGAGGGCCCGTGGTCAGTAGGGGGCTCCATGAGATACCCCTGGTACCTTTTTCATAGGCTTTTTTGAGTTTGAGCAAGGACACAGGGGCCTATGATCCCCTATTGCCCGGGGGCCCCATGAGTTGTCAGTCCTCCCCTGAGATGGAACACACTCTTCCAGAAGCTTCATATATTTTTGCATGACCAAAATATATCCAGTAAAATTTCCAACTTGGCCACAGCCGCGCCAGCAGAGAGGCGATCCGGTTGGGGAAAATTGAGCTATGTAGTATAGGGTGAGGTACCATCTGTTAACAATTTTTTGCAGTAATTCCTAGTGGTTTACACATTTGGAAATGTTACAGGAGTACCGAAATGCACTTTGCCATTGAGATATTGTATAATTCTGGTGCAGATCTTTCTCCCAGGCTACAATAGGAGCTGTTTTGGAGAATAGTACTTTGTTTTGGAATATGTTCTAGAAATATGATATACCCTTGGATGGATTAGCAGTGTGCTGATAAAAGTTCTATACTCCAGAATGGATTAGAATTGGTTGCATAGGAGAGGTTACTAGGTAATGACGCATGCTGAACAATTGGAAGGTTTCAGCTATAGGTAAATTACGTTCTGTATGCAGTTACTCAATGTTTTTTAGTTTGTCTCCATTCTAGAGATCCTCCACCCAATTCAGGTTGAAACGGGACCAATTGGACTGGTTTAGATGGGGTAATATTGTGTTGAAGATTGCTATAGGTACTTTAACCCTAAAGTTTGATTTAGATTTGCCTAAGCTGGTTTGAAGTGCTCTCCAAGCCATCAATGACGCTTTAGTAGTAGGGGGGAGACTTTCCAGAGAGAGAGAGAGAGGTGACCAGATGTCTGCTATAATAGAAGATGTAAGATTTGTGTGGCAGTTAAGGTGGTTTCTATATCCACCTATAATACCTCACAGGAGTGTTGAAACCAGTGTCACATGTGGTCTAAAAGGGCAGCATAATATTAGTCTTTGATGTCTACTATTCCTATTCCGCCTGCCAATTTGTGTTTGATGAGCTGGCTGTACGCACATCTAGCCCTCTTTTGTTTCCATCTGAATTTCTTGAGAATACCTATTAGGGATTTTATGAGAGAGAGTTTGAGTGGAATGGGCAGAGTACAGAAAAAATAGAGTCTCTGTGGAAAAATAAGCATCTTAAAGGAAGCCAGTCTGCCAGACCAGAATAGTTCAAAGCAAGAAAGGTTATTTTTGTCATTTTCAAGTTTAGATATAAAAGGTTTAAAGTTAGCTTCAGCTAGGGTGGAAATTGAGGGGGTTTGTGTGATGCCTAAATATGGCACACTGGTTGTGGTCCATGAGTAGGGGTAAGTCTGTGCTAAAACTGAATGTTCCTTACTGGGAATTACTAAGTTAAGGATAAGTGATTCAGAAAAAATTACTTTATTGTATGAAATAGCACTGAAGTGCATGAGGACTTTATGTGCTTGGGGTAAGGATTTAGTAGGGTTTGTCAGCAAACAGGTTTATAACATGTGGTCTGGTATGGAATATAAAACTAGTAATCACTGGATAGGTGCAAATTGTCTCCGCTAGCGGCTCAATCATTAAATTGAAAATGAGTGGGGACAATGAGCAGCCTTGACGGGTGCCGTTCATGATGGAAAATGGTTTAGAGAGTGAGTAAGTTAGAAATGCAAACCTGAGCTGAGGGACACGAATATAAGGCAAGTTATGCTGACAGTAGAGGTCCTTGGAAACCAAATATGTGAAGAACGTGCTGCATATATCCCCTATGCATATTTTTGTGCATAGTGTATGATATTTATTATGCATCTAGTGTCATCTGGAGCCTGTCTGCCTCTAACGAACCCTAGTTGGTTGGGGTTGTACTAGTGATGGTGCAATAATCACAAGTCAGGTGGCTAGCAGTTTGGCATACACCTTGATAATGAAATTTAACATGGATATGGGTCTAAAGTTAGATGGGGTATTTGGATCCTTTCCAGGTTTAGGGAGTGCAACAATGTGCACCCTCAGCATCTCTTGTGGGAATGAAGCATGTCTTTGTGCAGCATTAAATATCTTTGCAATGAATGAAGCTAGGGCATTGCTAAAGGATTTGTAGTATTCATTAGTAAACCCATCAGGGCCTGGTGATTTATTTGTGGGAAGGGTCCTAATTGTGCTGATAATTTCGTTTGGGGTAAAGGGGGCATTTCAAGTTGAGTGTTGTTCAGCATTGGCATTTAGCTTTGTCAGGTTTAGATTTGTTAATGATTCTAGCTCATTAATTGTTTTTAATAAAGTGTTATAGTGAGTATTAAGCCTACGCTTAATCTGGGTACACAGTTTTAGAATGACACCCCTCATAAAGCTTTATGGGCGTTCCATACAGTAAAAGCGTTAACATCAAGTGTGTCATTCGTTGAAAAATATTACCTAAGATTCTGAGCGAGCAAAGCATTGTTACCAGGTCCTGAATGATTTTATTATTGCATCGCCATACACTGAGTGGGGGGGCAAGCATTCTTTTCCACCAAGGTGATAGTGGTAACTGCATGGTCAGACCATGTGATATCCAATATGTTGGAACAGGATACTTGCTGCAATAACCATTTTTTAGAAACAAATAAATCTATACAAGAATACGACTGATATCTTGAAGGGAAAAAAAAGCGTAGTCCTTTTTGTTAGCATGTAAACAGCACTATATATATCATATACATCCTCTTCTTGGAATAGGGACCTTAATGTGAGAGTGCAACCTTTAGGAGACGTGGACATGTCCATGTGCGAACTGTAAGGTTAAAGTCTCCGCATATGAGGAGGATACCATACTTGATTTTGGAAAGTTTTTTTTGAACGCTTGACGTAGGAACCAAATTTATTTGGTATTGGGAGTGTATAAATGTATTAGTGTGTACGGTTTGTTGTTGATATCACAGGTTAAAATTATAAAGCGACTATTGGGATCAATTGTGAATGCATGTAAGGTAAAAAACACTGTGCTCTTAATCGCTAGCATCACTCCTCTCTATAAGTGGTCAGGAATATATGCAAAAAATCCTTATGTACACATCTGAAGATAGCAGCATTCTGTTAATGCATCTCTTGGAGCGAAAGTATATCTGCTTGTAGTGAAAGTGCCTCACACCATAAGGAGTGCCTTTTGAGCATATTTTAAGTATCATCAGAGAGCCATGTATAGTGCTGGGTGGTGAGACTCATATACATAGCAGGCATTGTGGATGTCAGGTAAGAATCCTGGCAGTAGATTTGTGGAGAGTTTTCACTGTAGAGACATGGATGTCCAGATGATGATATATGTTTGGAAGCCACTGACAACATATACCATGTTAGTGAGGCTAAAGCAAGAGCATAAGAAACAGTCACACTAGGTTATGATGTAATTGTATGCCACCAAAGGAGTCCCAGGGTTACAGTTAGAATAGTAAAAAGAATAAAACATGTTCTAGCAGAATGACATGCAGACAAGCAGCAACATCTCTGGAGGGAATAAAGGAACAACCTCATGGTGTCGGGAATCTTGAGGTTTTTAAATGGGTTAGTGATGTACTTTATGATCTGGAACCTGTATGTTGGCATAATTTCTGATTTGAGAGAAACCACTTGCAATTCTGCAGAAATCTTCAAGGTCGAGAAACCAGCAGAAGGTAGAGATGAGTGCTCAGGGAGGATGCCCCACTCACACAAAAGACAGAGACCTTCATCTATTGTGGTGATAGTAGATCTGGTTCCGTCTTGCATGTTAAGTTATT